TTAGGTATGGGTTCCATCTCGTAGAGTGGACCTTAAGTCAAATCAGAGACTGGTTTGTGCCACCATCTCCCTGGCATATTTCACATGCAGGACAGATTGTAGATCAAGGGTTTTATGGCTGGGTAGGTGTTTACATTTTGTGGTAGCCTGAAGAGCACCTTCCCATAGCAAAGACATTAGAAAGTAGGAGAGAAGATTTTATGTAGGCATCAGGTCAATATCTTCATGTTCAATGAGTTGTGTGGATATTGCCCTTGGCTATGGGGTCTTTGTTATCAGTTTATAGAGAGGAACCTATTATCTTGGCAACAGACTAGGTTCCTGGGAATTTTTATGAGACTCCTTTGGCTAACAACTCAATTGTATGTAACCAAGTCCCTGTGCTAGAAACTTCATTTGGTGACAATAAATAGCCAGTTAGTCCTTTGTCTCCCCTGTTATGTGGAGACTTCATTAGGATTGTCTTTATATATTGTTTTCACTGTGCTAGGGTTTCATACCACTCCACAAATGCACCTCAATTCTAGCTGTCTCTTCTTGCATTCTCTCCCTCAACCCTGTCTCCACTCATCCTTCTAAATTAATCCTTCCATTCCAGTCCTCTACATCCCCAGGATACCCATAAAATCTATTCTATTTCCCCCTCTTAGGGATCTCTTTTCTCTATATCTAATTTCTCTAGGTCTAGTGATTGTAGCATGGCTATCATTTATTTAATGATCCACACATAAATGAATACATACCATATGTGTTTTTCTGGGTCTGGGTTACCTCACTCAGTTTTATTTTGTCTAGTTCCATACATTTACCTGCAAATTTCATGATGTTATTCTTTTAATAGCTGAGTAATGCTTCATTGTATAAATGTACCACATTTTTTAAAATTTATATTCTTTGGTTGAAGGACATCTGAGTTGTTTCCAGTTTCTGGTTATTACAAATAAAGCTTCTATAAACATAGTTGAGCAAGTGTTCCTGTTGTAGGGTGGATCGTCTTTTAGGTATATGCCCAAGAGTTGTAGAGATAGATCTTGAAGTATATCGATATCCACCTTTCTGAGGAACCATCATATTGATTTCCACAGTTCCTTTACAAGTTTCCACTCTCACCAGCAATGGAGGAATGTTCCCCTTTCTCTACATCTTCACCAGCATTAGCTATCACCTATTTTATTGATCTTAGCCATTCTAACAGGTGTAAGATGGAATCCCAAAGTGCTTTTGATTTTGCATATCCCTGGTTGCTAAGGGTGTTGAACATTTCTTTAAATGATTCTTGGCCATTTAAGACTCTTCGATTAAGAACTTTTTGTTTAGATCTGTGCTGCATCTTTTAATTGGATTATTTGGGTTTTTTGGATGTCTAGCTTAATGAGTTCTTTATATATTTTGAATATTATCCCTCTGTTGGATGTGGAGTTGGAAAACAAATTTACCCATTCTGTAGGCTGCTTTTTTGTCTGATTGATGATGTTCATTGCCTTACAGAAGCTTTTCAGTTTCATGAGATCCCTGTAATTGATTGTTGATTTTAGTTCCTGCGCAATTGGTGTTCTGTTCAGGAAGTTATCTCCTGTGATAATGAGTTCAAGGCTCTTCCCTGCTTTCTTTTCTATAAGGTTCAGTGTATCTCGTTTTATGTTGAGCTCTTTGATCCATTTGGAGCTGAGTTTTGTACAGGGAGATAAGTATGAATCTATTTACCTTTTTTCTATGGGCAGACATCCATCTTCACCAGCACCATTTGCTGAAGATTTTGTCTTTTTTTTTCCCAGTGTGTAGTTCTAGCTTCTTTATAAAAAATCAGGTGTCCATAGGTTTGTGAATATCTGTCTACGTCTTCAGTTGAATACCACTAATCAACACGTCTGTTTTTGTGCAATACCATATTGTTTTTATTACTATAGATCTGTAATACAACTTGAAATATGGGATGGTGATATATCCAGCAGTTCTTTTATTAGCTTTGATTGTTTTAATAATTGGGGTGTGTGTGTGTGTGTGTGTGTGTGTGTGTGTGTGTGTGATTCCATATGTTTTCCTTTCTTTTTCATACTGTCTTCTTTTTCAGTATTTTCCAAATGATGGACATGGCACTAAAAGGAGATAACACACAGATCATGTAGTGTTATGCCCACTTCGAAATAAGTGAGATACTGTGCTGTCTTGACTTTAGACAGTGACTGAAAAAACTGGAATCCGTTGGTTAAAATAAGGCTTGAGTATTTATGTAACCCATCCTTATTTCTTTTAACTCTAGAGTCACTGTCAAGTTGTGCACAAGCAATTTAAATTGAAATCTCAAATTCTGGAGCTGGAAAGACAGCTCAGTTGGTAAAGTCCTTGTGCAAGTGTGAGGAAATGTGTTCAGACTCCATCCCAGCACTAATATAAAAGTCAGGTTGCGTATACCTATGCACTAACATATAAGTCAGATTGTTTATATTAAACGCCAGTCCTGAGGAGTAGAAAGCAGAGATAGGCAGACCCATAGAACTCACTTAGCTAGTTATCTCAGACACAACAGCAAATTCTGAGTTCAATGAGAGATGCTGCCTCAAAAGTGGGGCAACATTAGGTAAAAGGGGGATTGAAAAAAAAAATGAAGAAGATATCAGAGGATGGAAAGATCTCCCATGCTCACGGAACGCTAGGGTTAACATAGTGAAAATAGCAATCCTACCAAAAGCAATCTACAGATTCAATGCAATTCCCATCAAAATATCAAAACAATTCTCTACATAACTTGAAATAACAATTCTTAATTTCATATGGAAAAACAAAAATTCCAGAATTGCTAAAAACAATCCTGTACAATAACAGATCTTCTGGAGGTATCTCCATCCCTGATCTCAGGCTGTACTATAGACCAATCTTATATAATAACTGCATGGTCCTGGCATAGAAGCAGAATGGCAGATCACTTCTGAAAGACTATACTGATTGAGGTATTGAAGCAGAGTCTGAGACACATAGCCAAACATTGGGCAAAATGCATGGAATTTTATGAATTAAAGGGGAGATAGAAAGACCTGGGAGGGGGACAGGAGCTCCAAAAGAAGACCAACAGAGAAAAAAAAACTGAGCCCTGGGAGCCCTGAAGAGAATGATACCCCAACCAAGGACAATGCAATGAGAGGACCTAAAACCTCAGCTCAGATGTACCTCATAGACTCAGTCTCCAAGTGGTGTCCCTAGTGAGGGAAGCAGGGACTTTCTCTGGCATGAACTCAGTAGCAGACTCTCTGATTACCTCCCTCTGTAGGTGCAGCCTTGTATGCCAGAGGAAGACAATGCAGCCAATCCTGTTGAGACCTGATAGCCTAAGGTCAGATAGAAAGGGAGAAGGACCTCCCCTATTAGTGGACTAGGGGAGGGGCATAGGGTGAGAAGAAGGAGGGAGGGTGGGATTGGGAGGAGATGAGGAAGTGGGACACAGCTGGGATACAAATTGAATACATTGTAATAAATGATAATAATAAAAAATCATAAAAAATAAAATGAATGAATTATAATTTTTTAAAAAAAGAAAGAAGACATTGTAGCATCAGCCACTGGCCTCTGCATGCTCCCACAGAGAAGACCAAACCATCTAATATGCCTGTACACTCACTCATGGCACAAAGACACAGAACAAGAAGAAAAGGTAGTAGTTTCTAAGTTTGAAATTAAGCTTTTAGAGAATAGCATACAAATCTATTTTTATGACCACCAAACATTTTAAATATTATTGTCTTTTTCTGATCCTTGCAATGTTCCTGTTAGAATCTATTCTATGGCATTCATTCTTAATGTTTAATTTTTTTATTTTATTTTTTTTCTTATCAGTTACATTTTATTAACTCTGTATCCCAGCCGTGTCCCAATCCCTCATTCCCTCCCAGTCCCTCCCTCCCTCCCTCCTCTCCACCGTGCCCCTTGCCAAGTCCACTGATAGGGGGGACCTCCTCCCCATTCATCTGATCCTGTTTTATCAGGTATCTTCAGGACTGGCTGCAAAGCTCTCTTCTGTGGCCTAACAGGATGCTCCTCCCTTGGGGGGTGGGGAGGCCAAAGAGCCAGTCATTGAGTTCCTGTTAGAAATAGTCCTTGTTCCCCTCACTATGGGAAACCAATTGGTTACTGAGCTACCACAGGCTACATCTGAACAGAGGTTCTAGGTTATATCCATACATGGTCCTTGGTTGAATGTCAGTCTCAGAAAAGACCCTGTGCCCAGATATATTTGGTCCTTTGTGGAGCTCTTATCCTTTCCCCATCAGACTAACTCCCCTTATTTCTTATGATTCCCTGTACTCTTCCAAAGGTTTGGTCATGAGTCTTTGCTTTGAAAACATTGCTACTTAGAGTCTTTCAAATGCGCTCAGTAGACTCCTGTCATACGTTCAATGTACATCCCATCTGTCTTTCTAAATGAGGATTGATCATCTTACCCCATGTCCGCTCTCTTGATTATCTTTTTTAGGTGTACAGATTTCTTTATGTTTATCACATCTTATAGGTCTATATAAGTGAGTATATACCGTGTTTGTCTTTCTCCTTCTGGGATATTTCACTCAGGATGATCTTTTCTAGATCCCACCATTTGCCTGCAAATTTCATGATTTCCTCCTTTTTGATTGCTGAGTAGTATTCCATTGTGTAAAAATACCACAATTTCTGTACCCATTCCTCTGTTGATGGACATCTGGGTTGTTTCCAGGTTCTGGCTATTACAAATAAAGCTGCTATAAACATGGTTGAGCAAATATCCCTTTTGTGTACTTGAGCAAATTTTGGGTATATACCTAGCAGTGGTATAGCTGGGTCTTGAGGAAGCACTATTCCTAATTGTCTTAGAAAGCGCCAGATAGATTTCCAGAGTGGTTGTACCAGTTTACATTCCCACCAGCAGTGGAGGAGGGTTCCCCTTTCTCCACAACCTCTCCAGCATGTGTTGTCCCTTGAGTTTTTCATCTTGGCCCTTAATGTTTAATTTTGATTTTTCTTCTTTAAACAAGATGGTTTCCGAAAGGTGATTCCACCACCGGGCGAAAATACTAACCAGGAGAAGAAAGTATATATGGAATTTCAGCATCCACTTTTCAAAAGGGGAGGAGCCTATCTTCTTGAAAACATTAAGCGAAAGGTAAGAAGTGGACCACTGCCATATACTCTTTTCTGTGGTATTTAGGGTGGCATTCAGTCATTCCTTCATCTAATTCTTTTATGATTTCTCTAAGTCTTATTATGAAACTGCTAGAATTGGGAAGTGGTTGCTAGGTACTTTTTCAGGTTGCTCTAAACATGACCTTTAGGTATTAGTTTATCTAAAAATTTAATATCCTTTTTTGTGTTCTATTTTATTTTCTTATGTCTCTTAGTCATGTAGATAGTGATGTAACATTTTAGGAAACAAGCAGAAGGGCTGGATTATATTATGAAATTTAAACTTGAATACTGGATATTGCAGAACATAACTAAAAGACTCTATCTGCATATTGTAGATCTGAAGACAAGTCAAAGCTGTATATAAAATAGTAACAGTTTTTCACTTGTAACATGTCTGAGTATGCTGACATTTCACCTGAACCTTATCTGCATACTGGAATTTCAGGACCAAAAACAGATACAGGAAGAAAATTGAGAATTTCACTAAGAATAGTGTTTTTTTAAAGAATAGCTATTTTTTTAAACCTGTGAGTCTTAAGATAGTCAAACTATGAGATAAAGCTATTTTCATTAAAATTACTAAGAAATAATTTTTCCATCTTTATTCTCTCATGATCACAGTTCAGGATTCTTAGGAATACATGGTGCTTAATTATATAAGCATTCTACTACTGATGTGTAATTTGCGCAGTATTGTAACTTTTAAATTAGCTATATACTTTTATCAATTCAAATTTTATTGAATACATAAACATTTTCTTAGAAGAATTCATTATATTCTGAGCATCTTCTCCATGTCATCCACTTATCCTCTTTCCCCCTCCCTCCAGCTCCTATTATTCTCCTTTGTTCTTCTAGAAAATTTCACTTCCACATTAATTATATATTTATATATTATATATAACATAAATGTGACTATATGAAATCTAAAAACTACAAATAAGAGAATGCATAGAATTTTTTTCTTCCTGAGATTAGTTTCACTCATTCATCCTTTCTTTATTAATTTCTGAGAAATGGCCTCACTGTGTAGCCCCAGCTGTTCTGGAACTCATTCTGTAGACAAGGATGACCTCAAACTCACAGAAGTCCACCTGCCTTTGCCTTCCAAGCGCTGGGATTGAAGGTGTACACCACCACACCCAACTTAGTTTCATTCTTCAAATATGCTTGTATCTAGTTACATTCATTTTTTTTCTATAAACAACTATACTTTATTATTCTCAGTGGTTGAAAAGTACTTCCATCATGTATATTACAACAGATTCTTTATGCATATTCTGTGATGCACACCTAGATTGGTTCCATAATTTAGCTATTATGAATAGGGCTGAAAAGAACATTGATGCACAGATATTTCTGTCATGTGTTGAGTTTTCACAAATAAAAGTGATTTAGTTTTCACTTAACTTTATTTTTTGAATTTTAAAGATTTATTTTATATATTTTAATTAAAATAGAATTACATTCCTCACACCCATCCCTTTCCTCCTTTCAGCCCCTTCCTACTCCTTATTTCAGACCCTCTGCCCACTCTCAAATTGACGGCTTTTATTTATTATTCTCTATCTCTATCTCAGTCTCTCCCTGTCTCTCTGTCTCTGTTTCTGTCTCTGTGTAGCCACTAGGTGACTATAGTTCTTTGTCTAGGGGTGACACACCATGAAATTTTCCTTTTTCTATATTGACATGTTTATTGATATTGCTATTGTTCTCATCTTTTTATTGAGCTGTTTTGTGGAGAGACTGTTTTACAGCAGACTTTCTGATATTCTAACTCTTAAAATCTTTCTGAAACTTCTTCCATAATATTCCCTAAAATATAGATGCAGGAACTGTGATGTAAATTTATCCTTTGGGGCTGCATTTCCCACAATCCATTAATCTCTGCATTGTGTACATTTTCTATGATGATTTCAATTCTCTGTAAAGAAAAACCTCTCTGAGAAGAGGTAATAGCTGTGGGGATAAGGATAAGATTTATAATGTTGTAAGGAATTATGCTGGTCTAACAAAAAGCAAGTAGTAGATTCATTTTTTTTTCTTTTTTCACCTGCAAACTTTGACTCCAATTTAGTTTCCACTTTGCCAGTTTCTGACAAATTTTTCCCATACTCTGGCAGAATTCTCCTAGGCCAAATTCTGCATGCACTCTGAGTTTCCTGAGGGTACAGTCCACATAAGGTCACCAGTGGCCATGGCACTACCTTACAAAGGACTTTTTGTAGTAGCATTACGCAGCTGTTCTGGGATGAGACTGCTTCTCCCACTACAATAACTTTTTGAAACTGCACAGCCCCGTTTTGAGGACTGGGCTGCTTTAGCACGAACACTTTCCTTTCAGACCCATGACTCGATTCACAGTGTGTGTCCCTGTTCTACTGAACCTGTGCCTCTGCACTGCAAACACAGCAGGTGTCTTTCTGATACTAAGTTTTGAAGAAACACCTTACACAAGTAAAATTATGTGTTCAGCAAAATTATCCTTCAAAAGTGCAGAAGAAATGAAGCCTTCAGAAAGAGAAAGAGTAAATTTGTTATTATTTGACAAACCCTATAAAATATTTAAAGGATGTTTCAAGACTATGGGAGACCACCAATATAGCCACATCATCAAAAACTCTCACTATTGTATTGGTGTAATTCTCCAGAGCTATATAGACCAATTTTAAATTTCCAAATGGTAGATATTAATATAACCCATAGAAACAAAATGTCCATGGTTCACCAAAGAAAGAGAGAGAGAATGACATGGTCATTAGAAAAATGGACCAATAAACAGACTAAATTTGTTTTTTCTTACACCAACTCAAAACAGCCTTCATTTTAGTCATGGTGACCTTAGAATGACAGTTTCAGTTCTAAGAGGCAGAAAAATGTAAAACAATGCTACATTGAGTCATTTTTCAATCACACTAAAAAGAAGTCATGTTCAGATATCTTTTATTCTACTGAGAACTTATTCTTCTTTGTCTAATTAAGAATAATTTCAAAACACATGACCTGACAGGTATTTAATTTGAGATTAAAACTTTTACATAGAGAGCAGTGACCTCATATCTCATTAATTAGTGAAAGCAATAATATGTAAAAGAGATACCATATTTCTATTTTAATTTCCTTTTTATTAATTAATTGAATTTACATCTTGGTCATAGGCCCCTCCCTCTTCTCCCCCCAGTCCCACCCTATCTCTTCCATCCTCTCTCCCTTATTCCTCAGAACAGGGGAGACCTGTTACCCAGACACCCCAGCTCATCTATTCACATGAGAACTGAGTTCATCTTCCTCCCCTGTGTTCTTGTAGGTAAGTCCCATCAGGGGGAAGTGATCAGAAAGTAGGCAACATAGTCCATGTCAGAGATATCACTCACTTCCCTAACTAATGGGCTGAAATGAATCCCACTAAATGTCCACTGTACTTATTTTCTTGGGGTCTATGCATTGTAGTTTGTCTATCCTATACTATATGACTAAAATCTGCTTATAAGTGAGTATAGACCATGTGTGTCTTTCTGAGTCTGTGTTACCTCACTCAGGATGATCTTTTGTAGTTCTATTCATTCGCCTGCAAATTTCATGATTTCTTTGTTTTTAATGGCTGAGTAGTACTTTTTTAAAAATATGTTCTTCATTTGAGGGACATCTAGGTTGTTTCCAGTTTCTGGCTATTACAAATAAACCTGTTATGAACATGGTTGAACAAATGTCCTTGTTGTATGCTGGACCATCTTTCAGGTGTATGCCCAGGAGTGGGATAGCTGGGTCTTGAGGTATGGCTATTCCCAGTTTTCTGAGCAAGCACCAGATAGATTTCCAAAGTGGTTGTACAAGTTTTTACTCCCACTAGAAATAGAGGAGTGTTCCCTTTTCTCTGTATCTTCACCAGCATTTGTTGTCACTTGAGTTTTTGGTCTTAGTCATTCTGACAAGTGTTAAGATGGAATCTCAGAGTCGTTTTGAAATGCATTTCTCTGATGACTAAGGACATTGAGCATTTTTTAAATTATTTAATTTTTTATAAATTACTGTTTATTCACTTTGTATCCCCGCTGTAGCCCCCTCCTAATTCCACTCTCCCTAGTTCATCTCCTCCCAAGGGCCCTCCCCAAGTCCACTGATAGAGGAGGGCCTCCTCCCCTTCTCTCTGACCCTAGTCTATTAGGTCTCATCAGGACTGGCTGCCTTGTCTTCCTCTGTGGTCTGGTAAAGCTGCTCCCACCTCAGGGGAAGGTGATCAAAGAGCCAACCACTGAGTTCATGTCAGAGACAGTCCCTGTTCCCCTTACTAGGCTACCCACTTTGATACTGAACTGCCATGGGCTACATGTGTGCAGGGACTCCAGGTTATTTCCTTGCATGGTCCTTGGTTAGAGTATCAGTTTCAGAAAAGACCCCTGTGCCCAGATTTTTTGGTTCTGTTGGTCTCCTTGTGGAACTCCTGTTCCCTCCAGGTCTTTCTATATCCCCCTTATGTCAGGATTCTCTGCAATCTGCAAAATGTTTGGCTATGAATCTCAACATATGCTTTGATACCTTGCTGGTTAGAGTCTTTCAGAGGCCCTCTGTGATAGACTCCTGTCCTTTTCCCTGTTTTCTCCCTCTTCTGAAGTCCATCTCATTTGCCTTTCTGAATGAAGATTGGGCTTCTTACCAGGGTCCTCCTTTTTGATTGGCTTCCTTAGGTGTAAAGGTTTTAGTATGTTTAACCTATATTATATGTCTAATATTCTTTCTCCTTCTGGGATACCTCACTCAGGATGATCGTTTCTAGATCATAAATTTGTAAATTTCATGATTTCCTTGTTTTTCATTGTTGATTAGTGTTCCATTGTCTAAATGTACAGCAATTTCTGTATCCATTCGTCAATTGAGGGACATCTGGGTTGTTTCCAGATTCTGGCTGTTACAAATAAAGCTGCTATGAACATGGTTGAGCAAATGTCCTTGTTGTATACTTGAGCATATTTTGGATATATGCCTAAGAGTGGTATAGCTGGATCTTGAGGTGGCACTATTCCTAATTGTCTGAGAAAGTGCCAGATTGATTTCCAAAGTGGTTGTACCAGTTTACATTCCCACCAGCAATAGAGGAGGGTTCCCCTTTCTCCACATCCTCTCCAGCATATGTTGTCACTTGAGTTTTTTATCTTAGCTATTTTGATGGATGGAAGGTGAAATCCCATGGTCGTTTTAATTTCCTTTTTAAAAACTTTATTTTTTAATTTATTGCAATTTATTCATTTTGTATCCCAGCTGTAGCCCCCTCCTTCACCCCTCCCAATGTCACCCTCCCTCCCTCTTCTCCTTCCATGCCCCAACCCCAGTCTACTGATAGGGGAGGTCCTCCTCTCCTTCCATCTGACCCTACCTTATCAGCTCTCATCAGGACTGGCTGCATTGTCTTCCTCTGTGGCCTGGTAAGGCTGATCCCCCCTCAGGGAGAGGTGATAAAACAGTCAGCCACTGAGTTCATATCAGACACAGTCCCTGTTCTCATTACTATGGAACCCACTTGGACACTGAACTGCCATGGGCTATATCTGTGCAGGGGTTCTAGGTTATCTCCATGCATGGTCCTTGGTTGGAGTGTCAATCTCAGAAAAGACCCCTGTGCCCAGATTTTTTTGGTTCTGTTACTTTCCTTGTGGAGTTCCTGGCCTCTCTAGGTCTTTCTATCTCCTCCTTCTTTCTTTTTTTTTTCATTATTTTTTTCATTATACTTTATTTACTTTGTATCCCCCCTCTAGTTCCTTCCCTCCTCCCCTCCCAACCCCTCCCCTCCCCCCCTTCTCCACACACTCCCCTCCCCCAGTCCACTGGTAGGGGAGGGTTTCTTTTCCTTCCTTCTGATCCTAGTCTGTTTTGTCTCATCAGGAGTGGCTGCATTGTCTTCCTCTGTGGCCTGGTAAGGCTGCTCCCCCCCCAGGGGGAGGTGATCAAAGAGCAGGCCAATCAGTTCATGTCAGCAGCAGTCCCTGTTCCCTGAGACTGGGGCCTCCTGCAGTCCTAACCAGCCTCTCTCTCTGAGTGGGGAGGTGAGTTCCCAGAGAGCAGGGCTCCACACATGGGTAGACCCGGCAGGAGATGCTCTGAGTGGGAGGATGCCTCCCGCGCAGGAGCTTGGTACAGACTCATCGCCAGCACAGAGCGAATTCCTCCTTCTTTCATATGATTCCCTGCACTCTGCCCAAAGTTTGCCTATGAGTCTCAGCATCTGCTTTGATAATTTGCTGGGTAGAGTCTTTCAGAAGCCCTCTCTGGTAGGCTCCTGTCCTGTTTCCTGGCTTCTCCCTCTTCTGATGTTTATCCCGTTTGCCTTGAAGCAATAAAGTTCAAATCATTAAAGATATTCTAATCACTAACTGCAGAGTTAATTTTTTTTCATTATTGTAGGCATTAAGTTGTAGAACCATACTATGTATGCTGATTCATTTCATTAAAAAAAATCTTTGTTTAAATTGAATAAATTGTAATAAATGATAATAATAAAAATATTAAAAACATTGTTTGATATGCTTACATCTCAACAGGGCAAAAGTGAATCTATAGTCTACTGTGGGCTATTTCTGTGATGTAATCGCAATGTAGATTATTCATGAGATAAATCTGTTCTCCAATTATGCTCATAAACACTCCCAACAAAAAAAAAATGGAGGGAAAGGTTCAGAGTTCAAGTCTAAACAGAATGAGATGTGTGTATAACATTATGTTTAAATTAAGATATTGTGTCAGTGTCAAAGTAACATATAGTGCTATGTACAACATTTTGTTATGTTGCAGTACTTACAATAAATTGTATTTCATTCTCCTGTAAGGTATTGTTATTTCATTGTGGATAGAAATAATTCTGCCATACTCAGTGGAGTTTTCATTTTCTTTTCTTTTGTTTGCTTTTGGGTGAGGATGAGGTATTTTCGGCCTCAAACTTATGATCATCTTTTCTTAACCTCTAGAGTTCTGGGGTTATAAATATATGCCAATATAACTGTGATATTGTATGTCATCTGTCACATGTATGTCACATATATGTGTTCTACATATATGTATATAATGTGTGCTATAATATGTGTGTGTGTGTGTGTATATTGAGTTTATTGGAGATCTTTGTGTAAGGTATTTGTATGGTACTGTTCTTGAAATCTGGAACAAGTATAGTCTGAAACTCTATTTTTATGTTTTCATTAAAATTTTATGTGTGTGGTTCTTTTGCCTATATGTCTATCCATCATGCACATGTAGTTTTTGCCGAACTCAGAAGAAGGTATCATATCCCCTGGGACTTGAGTTACAGAATAACCTGGGTGCTTTAGAAGAGCAGCCAGCACTATCTCCATGTTCCAGGAACTATATTTCTAAACTTCCAGGAGCTTTCAATTTAGTCAAAACACAATAATGTATATAAAGACTATAATATTAAGCATGCATAGTATAGTACTATAATTGAGGTACATTTACAGGATTGGATTACTTGTTTCTATTAGCCATGCTTTTTTTTTTCTCATTAGTGCTCATAATGGATAGTTTAATGGTATACCAAATTTTTAACCAACTTGACTGTACTGTCCCCACTTTAGGTGTCAACCTTAAAAATTGAAGATGACAACCCCTACTGTGATGAGTTTCAGAAAGTTGTGACTGAAATGAAAGAGTTAAAAGACAAGCAGAGCAAGATGGATGCCAGATATGCACAAATGAAACAGTGGGTGTTAATCTAACTGTTCTAGCACCTGTTTTAAGGTTCTAAATTTGGTTACTCCACAATTGTGAGACTACACTTTTATTTATTTATTTTTTTTTTATTTTTTTTTTCCTTTGGGAATTGACTCTTTATTCTTTGATGTCATGGTTCAGTCTCAAAATAAGTGAATGCAAGTTACAAGTGACTTAAAAAATAGCATCAAAACTCAGTGTGATTTTAAATCTCATCATGAGGTACCTCCTTGGGTTTTTCTTTCCCCTCCTCTTTCACAACATCCTACTTTTTTTATTAATTACACTTTATTCATTTTGTATCCCCCCATAAGCCCCTCCCTCCTCCCCTCCCAATCCCACCCTCCCTCCCCTTTCTGCATGCATGCCACTCCCCAAGTCCACTGATAGAGGAGGTTCTCCTCTTCTTTCTGATCTTAGTCTATCAGTTCTCATCAAAAGTGGTTGCATTGTCCTCTACTGTGGCCTGATAAGGCTGCTCCCCCCTCAGGGGGAAGTGATCAATGAGCAGGCCAATCAGATTATGTCAGAGGCAGTCCCTCTTCCCATTACTATGTAACCCACTTGGACACTGAACTGCCATGGGCTACATCTGTGCAGGGGTTCCAGGTCATCTCCACGAATAGTCCTTGGTTGGAGTATGAGTCTCTGGGAAGTTCCCTGTGTTCAAATTATCTTGTTCTGTTGCTCTCCTTGTGGAGTTCCCGTCCCCTCCAGCTCTTACTATTTCCCACTTCTTACATAGAATTCCATTCACTCTGCCCATCAGTTGTCCATCAGGCTCAGCATCTGCTTTGACAGTCTATACTGCAGAAGCTTTCAGAGGCCCTCTGTGGCAGGTTTCAAGGTTGTTTCCTGTTTTCTTCTGGCTTTCAGAGGCCCTCTGTAGCAGGTTTATTTTGCATGGCACTTTTTCATGTGATTTCTTTTAAGTTAAAACACAGCAATGCTTCAATTCTTGAATTACTATTAATGGGCCAGGAGCTCAAATATAACTGTAATTGCCTAGTATATTCCTATACAAATCAGAAATAAAATTGTCAGATTATTATATAACAACATAAATATGAATACTAAGCTAGATAGAAATTTCCATTTTAACCAAGAAAGAAAACTAGAAAGGGGTATTAAAAGTAGAACTTCGGTATATAAGTACTCCGAGATACATGTTTAATGTAAAGACTGATACTTCTTTCAGTCTTTTTTCAGTTTAGTTTCTCCTATTAAATAAATTTCTTTACAAATACTTTTCAGAGGATACAGGTAGTCCTAATGAGACTTGATAGGCTGTGATCAGATGGTAGGGGAGGAGGGCTCCTCCTTTTTGAGGAATAGGGAAGGGGGAATAGAGGGGAAGAAGGAGGGAGGGTGGAACCATCTAGAGGAGGCAAGGGAGGGGTTACAATCGGGATGTAAAGTGAAAAAATTATAAAAACTAAATTAAAAAAATAATAAAATACTCATCAGTGTTTTATAGGGAGTCAAGAGTCCATAATGCAGCAGCAATGTCTCTGTTAGTAAGGCTTTTATTCAGGCAGTAATATTGTAAGGCAAATTTTAACTATCTAAAGATTTGCACAGTAATGCCTTTTAGAAAATATTGTAACCTATTATTTACATTAGAGGAATTATGTGTGGATAAGCTTTAGCAAATATTCATCAGTATTCAAATTAAAATTGAGTTTTTCTGAAAATCTTTCACTGATATATAAATAAACCTTTAATTTGATGGTTCTATCTTTTGTAATTGACTTAGTAAATTAAGCTTTTTATATACAACAACAGAGAAAGGAGAGAAGGAGTGGAGAAGATAGAAGTATTATTTTTTCATCAGCATTGACAAGAAACCAAGATTTTCATTGAAACTGAACATGAAACAGTCCTTCATGCTAATTTTGGACGTCAGACTACTGTTGAGTGTTAACCGTTGCACATTTATATATCATATGGGTGCCAAGGTGTCAATGAGTTTTGGCTGATTTTACATGCAAAAAATCCAAACACCACCCCTAAATAGTGAACAAAATACCTTCTGATGTTTCTTCTAAGCAAATATTTGTGATTCTTTCACATTGTAAAATTTTCATTATTTTATATCATATGTAGAAGTATTTCTTAGAAGAATTTAAGTGCCAAAATAAAAACTAAAAATGTTAGAATCTATCTACCGAGTTAGATAAAAAAGATGAATCCAGAAAAAAAAAAATAACTAGTATTTGGAAGCAGTCACTGGACCCATTTATCTGTTGCTCTAACTAGTGCAGCTACTTTTTAAATCTTGAGATTATAATTTAGTTACATTCCTCCCTTTAATTTCTCTAAAATTTCCCACATATTCCTCTCCATTCTTCTTCAAGTCCATAGCCTCTTTACTCACTAATTATTATTGCATACATATATTCCTAAATATAACCTGTTCAGTCTATATATTGCTGATCATGTTTAGGCAGTCATGTTGGTGAGACTTGGTGGGTGTAGCCTCTGATGCCACTAAGAGACATAATGTCACAATCTCACAGCAAGCTCTCTGATCCACTGACTCTTCCAATTCAGAATGTCAAAGAGCAATAAAACAACTTAAAATAAATGCCGGAGGTGATGCAGGGAGAAGGGAACACTCATTCACTATTTGTGGAAATGTAAACGGGTGAAATGCAAACTGGAAATTAGTGTAGAGATTGCTCAAAAAGCTAAATAATAAATCTACCATATAAGCCAGCTATTTCACTCCTTGGAATGTGCTCAAAGGACTTGCCATCATACTTTACAGATACTTGCAATGCCATGTTCATTGCTGTTTTATCCACAACACCTATGGAATGGATACAACCTAAATTCTCTAAAACTGACTAATGTAATGAAAATATCAAACATACACACTATAGAAAACTATTCATCTGTAAAGATAAATGAAATCATAAGCTTTTCAGGCGAATGGATGGAACTAGAAAAGATCACATTGAGTAAGCTAACCCAGACCCAGAAGACAAACATCACATACTCTCTCAGATGTGGGTACATAGCCTCTAATAACTGGAGAAACCAGGGAAGTAAAATAGAACCATTTCCAGGATAGGGGTGGGATGGGGAGCAATACTGGGGGGAACAGTGTACAAGTGATCTGATACGGAAAATGGGAAAATGGGACTACAGCTGATGTGTGCTGACCCTGTGTGCCTTTTATGGAAGCGGAGAAGTTTAATAAACTCAGAGGAAAGTGGCTAAAATAATAATTAGGATGTCCGGAGAAGCCGGACATTATTAACATTTTACACAAAATACCCATATAGTACACATAATTCCATGTATAGTTCTAAAGGACTTTGCTCATCTGAGCTGAGGGGCCTTTCAACTTGGACTTAAGGACCCATTCAACCAAAAGGATATTATACCAAGTACTGGAAGGAAATCTAGTGAGCTTAATACATTTGATTCCATTCTAAATATATTTTAGATTCACCACTCTTTTTCAGTATATATACATGTGTTTTCATAAACTGCTGATATATAAAGAGTAAGGTTACTATTGTTTGAGTTTCTCCCAAGAGAAAGATTACTGAGCATTAAAATTCCAATTAGCATGAGATTTACCTTAAGGGTTTTATGAAGCCAACTTTATTTTACTAATATAAAACCAAAACCTAATTCTCTATATCCAAAGCAACAAGGATTTCTTTAAAATATTGTTCTACTCTTAGTCTTTCTATTTAAAATCACACCTTCATCTGTTTACTTCAACAATGAAGAATGTTTATTGCTAATGGCCAGCATTTGAAGCAGCTTTGGCACCGCGTGGACTACAGCTGATGTGTGCTGACCCTGAGGAAGTATTCTCAAAGATTTCACTTCAATAATGCTGATCATGTCTTTGTTTGTGTGTTTTGTTTTTGTTTTCAGAGACAGGATTTCTCTGTGTATCCTTGACTGTCCTGTAATTGCTTTGTAGACACACAGATCTGCCTGCCTCTGCCTCCCTGAGTGCTGTGACTACAGGTATGGCCCACTGTGCCCAGTTGCTGATCTTGTCTTAATCACAGCTGATTTCTTAGTTCCAGATGACTAATATCAATTGTGTCAGTAAAGCAATTATATCACTTCCAAAGATTTCTTTTTATTTTTTATTTTATTTTATTTTATTTTATTTTTATTTTTCTTATTAGTTACATTTTGTTAACTCTGTATCCCAGCTGTATCTGCTCCCTCATTCCCTCCCCAGTCCCACCCTCCCTCCCTCATCTCCTCCCTGAACCTTTCCAAGTCCACTGATAGGGGAGGACTTACTCCCCTTTCATCTGACCCTGTTTTATCAGGTATCTTCAGGACTGGCTGCAAAGTCCTCCTCTGTGGCCTAACAGTACTGCTCCTCCCTTGGGAGGTGGGGAGGTCAAAGAGCCAGCCATTGAGTTCATGTCAGAAATAGTCCCTGTTCCTCTTACTATAGGAAACCAATTGGTTACTGAGCTATCACAGGTCACATCCGAGCAGAGGTTCTAGGTTATATCCATACATGGTCCTTGGTGAAGTGTCCATCTCAGAAAAGACCCTGTGCCCAGATATGTTTGGTCCTTGTGGAGCTCCTATCCTTTCCACATCAAACTCCCTTCTTTCATATGATTCCCTGTACTCTGCCAAAGGTTTGGTTATGAGTCTTAGTATCTACTTTGAAACACTGCTAGGTAGAGTCTTTCAGATGCCTTCTGTGGTAGACTCCTGTCATACATTCAATGCATATCCTATTTGTCTTTCTAAATGAGCATTGATCATCTTACCCCGTGTCTGCTTTCTTGATTATCTTCTTTAGGTGTATAGATTTCATTATGTTTATCATATCTTGTAGGTCTATATAAGTGAGTATATTCCATGTTTGTCTTTCTCCTTCTGGGATACTTCACTCAAAATGATCTTTTCTAGATCTCACCATTTGCCTGCAAATTTCATGATTTCCTCCTTTTTGATTGCTGAGTAGTATTCCATTGTGTAAAAATACCACAATTTCTGTATCCATTCCTCCATTGATGGACATCTGGGTTGTTTCCAGGTTCTGGCTATTACAAATAAAGCTGCTGTAAACATGGTTGAGCAAATGCTTTTGTTGTGTACTTGAGCAAATTTTGGGTATATACCTAAGAGTGTTATAGCTGGGTCTTGAGGAAGCACTATTCCTAATTGTCTGAGAAATCGCCAGATTGACTTCCAAAGTGGTTGTACCCGTTTACATTCCCACCAGCAATGGAGGAGTATTCCTCTTTCTCCACAACCTCTCCAGCATGTGTTGTCACTTGAGTTTTTCATCTTGACCATTCTGATGGGTGTAAGGCAAAACCTTAGGGTTGTTTTGATTTGCATTTCCCTCATGGCTAATGAGGTTGAGCATTTCTTTAAGTTTTTCTCTGCCATTCGATATTCCTCTATCGAGAATTCTCTGTTTAGCTCTGTTCCCCATTTTTTAATTGGATTACTTGGTTTGTTGCTTTTTAGCTTCTTTAGTTCTTTATATATACTGGATATCAGCCCTCTGTCAGATAAAGGGTTGGTGAAGATTCTTTCCCAATCTGTAGGCAGTCGTTTTGTTTTGATGATGGTGTCCTTTGCTTTACAGAAGAAGCTTTCCAGTTTCATGAGGTCCCATTTATTGATTGTTGATCTTAGAGCCTGTGCTGTTGGAGTTCTGTTCAGGAAGTTGTCTCCTGTACCAATGAGTTCTAGGCTGTTCCCCACTTTTTCTTCTAACTGATTTAGCGTGTCTGGATTTATGTTGAGGTCTTTGATCCACTTAGACTTTAGGTTTGTGCAGGGTGATAAATATACTTCCAAAGATTTCTAATCACAGGAATGGCCCTAACTCTGTCTTTGCTTCCCTCTGAAACTTCACAAGCCAGACCTCCATCATCTGTGCTCCTGTCAGTGTTACCTTTCAAGTAACAACAACAGGTCATTAAGATCTAAATATTAAATGATGTTTTCAGTTCAGAGTTCCAAATCCTTCACAATCTTCCACCAAACAACATGAGCAGATCCATTACAGCAATATTTCACTCCTGCTACTATAGTCTGTATTAAATATTTAGGATTGGATTGTCTAAAGGTATAGAATTGATACAATTTATATAGAGATGTATAATAACATAAATAAATATTAAAACGGGATTTTTTAAACTGACTTACAAGATGCAGTCTGGATAGCCTAACAATGACTATCACACACTGGAGAACGTGAGAATCCAGTTTGCACAGTCTATGAGGCTGCATGTCTCAGCAGTCCCAATCTGGTCCTGGAGTCCTGGAGGATTTCTGCAGAGCTCCTCATCATCAGTCTACATTGGAATTCCCACCCCTCAATGGTACTAATATTGGTGAAAGATGCCTCAGCAACAGGATAGATGGACTTGCCAATGATATTGAGGGCAATTAAGAAAAAGAAAAGCTGCTTTCTTTAGTGCCCTCTTAGGAGGATTACCATCAGGAGTGGCACAGAGCTAGGTGGGTCTTCTTGCTTCAAATAATCTGATCAGGAAAATCCATCATAAGAGTGCCCAGAAGCTTGGGTATTAGTTGACTTCAGATGTAGTCAAGTTGACAATCGAGATTAGCTGTCACAAGTCCATTTTTACTCAACTTAACTACAAACGGAATATATTCTTTTACAAGTACTTACAAATGATAGAGATTTCATGATAATTTGTCCTTCAAAGTATACTCCCCTACACTTAACACATCAGCAGTGAAATGGTAGTCATTACACAGAAAGGTAAGGGATCAGGAAGAAGTTAAAAGACAGTGAATCAATTCTGGTATTCTGTTCCACTATGAAGATATGTGTGTGTGTATATATATAACTATATAGTTATATATATATATATATGCCACATCTTATAAGCCAGTCTAACAAACTGCTTTTAATTCTATCAGTTGTACTTCTTTAGAGAATGAGGACTATTACACTCCCCCTTCACAGTAAGTACCCTCAATTTTCCCCATTCCCCCTTCATAATACCTGTGCCCTGCTATTCCCCTCACTAGAGCTTCTCCTTCTCTTTCTTCTTGGTCCGTTTTGGCTTTTCTTGTTTCTATGGTTACTCCACACTATACTCTAATCTCAAGATTCAGAGCTCAGAAACACAAATAAGAGAGAACATACAGTGCTTGTCTTTAATAATTTCTAGTTCCATCCGTTTGCCGGGAAAGCTGTACTTATAGCTATTTGTTGTGGGCTCCTTTTATGCTTAGTATGCTCATATTCCATTGTATGTAATCCAACAAAACTTTAAGTTAGGGAAATTGATATTCTCCGAAACCATAACTGTAGTGCGGCTAACATTTTCCAGGTTTTGTATTCATGTTTCTAATTGTAGCATTACTATTCTGTTTGAACAAAGGTATGTTAAAACAGTGTGTATCTCAAGCATTGTCTCTGATAAAAGGGAGCATATCTGTAAGCAAGTACATTCAACTTTATTTAGAAAAGAGAATGTTGTTTATTCTTAAAACACAAAACTCAATTTGTATATAAAACCAATTCAGTATTAGAAATGTAATTTGATACCGTGTGTATTGATAAAAATGTACGTTTGTAAGCCTGGTATAAAACTACTAACCTGGAGATTTGTTTGTTCTAATATACTTCTATGAAATCTTTTTCTCCTCCAGTGATTGGAAGAAAATATGGAATTTATAATTTTGTATTCTTAAGTCTGAAATCTATTAACATAGGATTGCAAGCAATTAAGTATGATGTCTGTCTTCCTATTGATCATTGAAGTTCAAAAGTATCAAGTTAATCTGAGCTTACAAGACCATAAGTGTATAGAGTTGGGAATGCAATTTAGTGGTAGAATGATTTCCTAGCATGTGCAATGCTCTAGGTTGATACCAGCACCACTAAAATCTCATAGCTCTGAAGTCTGTGTGAACTAATTAGTTAATAAAGGCAGTGATTTTTAAACTTAAAATGCAATAATATTCCATTAGGATAATAAGGGTATAATTTTGTGAAGTGCACAATGTATACTGTTAATTCAGACAATTCAATGTTTTTTTTTATTTTATTTTTTTCTTATCAGTTACATTTTATTAACTCTGTACCCCAGCCGTGTCCCAATCCCTCATTCCCTCCCAGTCCCTCCGTCCCTCCCTCCTCTCCACCGTGCCCCTTGCCAAGTCCACTGATAGGGGGGACCTCCTCCCCATTCATCTGATCCTGTTTTTAAAGATATTTTATTTTCAAATTTTTAAGAAATTTTAAGAAATCTTTTTTTTTCATTCAAGTAATCTATTTATGTTTCAGTGACTATTCAGAACTATGTCTTGAACTTACAAACCTAAGAAAGAAGTACTGTGAGCAACAGCAACTGCTGACACAGGTATATATAAGTTGTTCTTTAAAGGAGTCATTGTTTTTTTCTTTTCTGTGAATTATTGTTATTTGATGGCACTGTTCCAATATGAAGTCATATGAAAAAAAGTGATAATTATCCAAAGTTATGGTTGTATTTTCTGGAAACTCTCACAAACTTCATGTTTTATTATTGATCTTCCTAACTATTGAGAATGGTGTAATAGTTAAAATAGTCTCTGTTGTTTTCAGATACTCCATTTTATCTTGGATTCGATGAGTGGGAACCATACAGTACTAAAAAGGAGGAAAAGGTAAGTTTGATTACTTTTTAAATTAAATTTTTATTTTTTATATTAATTACAGTTTATTCACTTTGTATCACAGCTGTGGCCTCTTCCCTCATTCCCTCTCAGTCCCCCCTCTTTCCTTCATCTCCTCCCAAGCCCCTCTCCAAGTCCACTGATAGGGAAGTCTTCCTTCTCTTCTATCTGACCTTAGTCTATCAGGTCTCATCAGGACTGACTGTATTGTCCTCTTCTATGGCCTGTTAAGGCTGCTCCCCAAGTATTCTACAGAGGAGCCTTTATTCTCTCATCTAAAATTTTCTTTTACTGATGTCCTCTTAATTTTTAAGTTCTGAACAAGTCACAATGCATGGATTAAGTATGTGCCATCAGAGAGAAAAAAGTGCCTGCTAAGAAAAACAAAAGCATCATTATACGGCAATAAACCCACTGGTGAAAATAGAATACCTGTTGACTACGAAGTACTCAACCCTTTCTCCTTAAGAATCAATTGTTTTAGGAAGTAAATGGACACGTACAGCACTATACAAACTATTAGTTATTGTGAATTTGAGAAGAAGAAATAAAAACAAGAAAGAAATAACACTAGACTAGTGGTTACCATTAGGCTGCTATAAAGGAAATAAAAGAGTGGAGCGTATACAGAAAGGGGGATGATAGAAACAAAAAAAAAAGAAAGAAAGAAAGAAAGAAGAGGGAAGAATATTGGAGTTTTGGTTAAAAATAAAGTGAAAAAAGAAGACTATAAATATGCACTCAAATAATGTATAAGAGCTTCATTTCCAAGGAAGGTGAGCCCCTGAAAACCGTGTAAACTAAGCCAGCCTATGTTCTTTGGAAGAAGTATAAAAAGGAGAGGCAAATGTGCAGAGAAATAGGTGTGGGTAGGGGAATACAGGATAAAAACAGTGTGGGACCAGGCTGGCCTTCTATATTGCCCTACATATTGTTTAAATACAGATGAATGAAGGCTGAGTGAAGATCTGCAGCAAAGATGAAAGTTCCAACTTGCACTCTCACCTCACTGAATGTCTGTGAGTGGGGCTGAAGTCACTAATTGAAGATTTGTAATTGGATTTTATAATGCTATTATGGTGTGTGGTGATGGCTTTCTAGTTAGATCATTCTTCATTTTTTGTTTGTGTTTCCATTTTCTGATTATATTCAGTTAATGATTTCAGTATATAGAATCATTTGTTCATAATTTACTTAAAGGATTTTAATTTTTACTAAAAGAAATCCATTGATAAACATATCCAGACATCATTATTGTTAATATTTACTTTGAGTGTAGTAAAATGTCCCAGGATATATCTATGTTTTGTCTGCTTCCACTCTAGAATCAGGCCTAATTCAAGGAGCTTTTACTTCTTTTAGATTACAAGGTATACTAAAAATTTTAAACGTTTTGGAAGGTGGCTATTAGACAGGGATACAATTCCAAAACTTTTAAGTGACCTTTCGCTTAAATGTGCAGTGTCCTTTACCGTTGATACTGAGACTTAAAGCACTGATTTCTAATGGAAGTCGTTATGTCAAAAGATGAATAAAACACGGGTTCTATACAACAGAACTGGCTGACCATTGCAATATTAATATAGCTTATGGCATTAAACTTTTGGGTCTCTTGAGTTTTTTTTTATCTTAGCTACTCTGATGAGCGTAAGGTGAAATCTCAGGGTTGTTTTGATTTGCATCTCGCTGATAATTAAGCACATTGAACATTTCTTTTTTAAATTTCAAATTTTTTTATAAATCTTAAAAAAAAGCACTAAATCTTAAAAGTAAAGTAAAAAATACCAGAAAAATATAAACATTAAAAGAAAAGGATAGTGCAACATAAATCCTTTAATAAATGTTGTTACATTCAAGCATATTAGTTTCTCTAAAGTGTTAACTTGAAAAAACAATTTTTGGGTCAAAAGAAAAAGACAGCTTAAAACTTCACCAGATCTTGTCTTTTAAAGTTGTCTCCCAATTTACATGCCACCAGCACATAAGAGTTCCTTCTCTAAGCATTTCTAACACTTGGTATGCCATGTTTGCAAATTTCTTTTGCTGCAGAAACTGCAGTGGTATGTTTATCATGTTTACAGGTATGAACCTCTGGTTGTTAATGCTGCTGAGCATCTTATCAACTATTTATTGGCCATCTGAACATCATTTTTTCTTTTTTAAAATTTTTTATTAATTACACTTTATTCAATCTGTAGCTCCCTCCTCACCCAATCCTTCCCATCCCCCCTTCTCCATGCATGCCCCTCCCCCAGTCCACTGGTAGGAGAGGGTTTCTTTTCTTCCTTCTGATCCTAGTCTGTTAGGTCTCATCAGGAGTGGCTGCATTGTCTTCCTCTGTGGCCTGGTAATGCTGCTCTCCCCTCAGCGGGAGGTGATCAAAAAGCAGGCCAATCAGTTCATGTCAGAGACAGTCCGTGTTCTCATTACTATGGAACCCACATGGAGACTGAACTGCCATGGGTTACATCTGTGCAGGGGTTCTAGGTTATCTCCATGCATGCTACTTGGTTAGAGTATCAGTCTCAGGAAGACCCCTATGCTCAGATTTTTTGGTTCTGTTGCTCTCCTTGTGGAGCTTCTGTCCTCTCCAGGTCTTACTATCTCCCCCCCTTTTTTTTATAAGATTCCCTGCATTCTGCCCAAAGGTTGGCCATAAGTCTTAGCATCTGCTTTGATATTCTGCAGGGCAGAGCCCTCTGAAAGGCTCTGCCCCAAGGCAGATGCTAAATTTCAAATTTTTTATTTATTTTTAAATATATTATAATTGAGTCACTTTGTATCTGAGCTGTAGTCCCCTCCCTCATTGCCTCCCAATCCCGCTCTCCCTACCTCTTCTCCACCCATGCCCCTCTTCCAATCCACTGATTTGGGAGGTCTTCTTCTCCTTCCATCTGATCCTACCTATCAGATCTTATCAGGACTAGCTGCATTGTCTTTTTCTATGGCCCAGTAAGGCTGCTCCCTCTCAGGGGGAGGTGTTCAAAGAGTCAGTCACTGAGTTCATGTCAGAGACAGCCCCTGTTCCCCTTACTAGGCAACCCACTTGGATACTGAGCTTCCATGGGCTACATCTGTGCAGGGGTTCTAGGTTATCTCCATGCATGGTACTTAGTTGGAGTGTCAGTCTCAGTAAAGACATCTGACAGATATTTTGTTTTTTGTTGCTCTCCTTCTGGAGCTCCTGCCCCCTTCAGGTTTTCTATCTCCCCCTACTTTCATAAGATTTCCTACACTCTGCCCAAAGTTAGGCTATGAGTCTCAGCATCTGTTTTAATACCCTACTGGGTAGATTATTTCAGAGGCCCTCTGTGGTAGGCTCCTGCCTTGTTCCCTGTTTTCTCCCTCTTCCTATGTCCATTCCGTTTGCCTTTCTGAGTGAGGAATGAGCATCTTACCCAGGGTCCTCCTTCTTGGTTAGCTTCTTTAGGTGTACAAATTATAGTTTATTATACTATATCATATGTCTAATATCCACTTATAAATGATTATATACCATGTGTATCTTTCTGTTTCTGGGATACCTTACTCAGGATGATCTTTTCTAATTCACACCATTTGCTTGGAAATTTAATGATTTCCTTGTTTTGAATTGCTGAGTAGTATTCTGTTGTGTAAGAGTACCATGACCTTTTATCTGAAAGAGAGCTCATATCAAGAATATATAAAGAACTCAAGAAGTTAAACACAACACACCAAGTAGTCCAATTAAAAAATGGGGTATGGAGCTAAACAGAGAATTCCCATTAGAGGAATATTGCATGGCAGAGAAACACCTAAAGAAATGCTAAAAGTCCTTAGTCATTGAGGAAATGCAAATCAAGATGACCCTGAGATTTCACCTCACACCCATCAGAATGGCTAAGATCAAAAACTCAAGTGACAACACATGCTGGAGAGGTTGTGGAGAAAGGGGAACTAACTCTCCTCCATTACTGGTGGGAATGTAAACTTGTACTATAACTTTGAAAATCAATCCGGCACTTTCTTGGACAGTTAAGAATCGTGCTACCTCAAAATCCAGCTATACTACTCCTTGGTATATAGACAAAATATGCTCAAGTATACAACAAGGACATTTGCTCAACCATGTTCAAAGCAGCTTTATTCAAAATAGCCGGAATCTAGAAAAAAAAAACCAGATGTCCTCAACTAAGGAATGGATAAAGAAATTGTGGTTGAGTATTTCTTTAAGTGTTTCTCTGCTATTCGATATTCCTCTACTGAGAATTCTCTGTTTAGCTCTGTACCTCATTTTTTATTTTATTTATTTTTAAATATTAGTTACAGTTTATTAACTTTGTATCCCAGCTGTATCCCACTCCCTCATTCCCTCCCAATCCCACCCTCCTTCATCTTCTCCTTGCCCCTTTCCAAGTCCACTGTTAGGGGAGGACCTCTTCCCCTTTTATCTGACCCTGGTTTATCAGGTATCTTCAGGACTGGCTGTAATGTCTTCCTCTGTGGCCTAGTAGCGCTGCTCCTCCCTCGGGGCAGGGGGGAGGTCAAAGAGCCCGCCATTGTGTACCTCATTTTTATTGGATTACTTGGTTTGTTGGTGTTTAACTTATTAAGTTCTTTATATATTCTGGATATTAACCCTCTGTCAGATATAGGGTTGGTGAAGATCCTTCCCCAGTCTGTAGGCTGTGGTTTTGTGTAATGGCAGTATGCCTTGCTTTACAGAAGCTTTTAAGTTTCATGAGGTCCCATTTATTGATTGTTGCTCTTAGAGCCTGTGCTGTTGGTGTTCTATTCAGGAAGTTGTCTCCTGTGCCAATGAGTATCAGAATTTTCCCCACTTTTTCTTCTAAGGAGTTTAATGTGTCTGGTTTTATGTGGAAGTCTTTGATCCACTTGGACTTTAATTTTGTGCAGGTGATAAGTATGAATTTATTTGCATTTTTCTACATGTAGTCATCCAGTTAGACCAGCATCATTTGTTGAAGATGCTTTATTTTTTCCAATATATCAATATATATTTTTTTTTCTTCAAAAACCAAGTAACCATTGGTGTGCGGGTTATTTTCTGGGTCTTCTATTTGTTTCCAATGATCCTCTAGACTGTTACTCTGCCAGTACCATGCAGTTTTTATTACTGTTGCTTTATAGTACAGCTTCAGATCGGGGATGGAGATAGCTCCAGAAGATCTGTCATTAAAACTCAAGTGACAACACAACCTGGAAAGGATGTGAAGGAAAGTGAACCCTCCTCCATTGCTGGTAGGAATATAAACTTGAACAGCCACTTTGGATATCACTCTGGTGCTTCCTCAGCAAATTAAGAATAGTGCTACCTCAAGATCTAGCTATACCACTCCTAGGCATATATCCAAAAGATGCTCAAGTACATAACAAGGACATTTGCTCAACCATGTTAGTAGCAGCTTTATTTGTAATAGCCAGAACCTGGAAACAACCCAGATGTCCATCAACAGAGGAATGGATACAGAAATTGTGGTACTTTTACACAATGGAATACTACTCAGCAATTAAAAACTAGGAAAACATGAAATTTGCAGGAAAATGGTGAGATCTAGAAAAGATCATCCTGAGTGAGGTAACCCAGAAGCAGAAAGACACACATGGTGTATATTCATTTATAAGTGGATACCAGACCTATAAGCTAGAATAAACATTCTAAAATCTGTACAACTAAAGAAGATAAACAAGAAAGAACGTCCAGGGTAAGATGATCAATCCTCACTTAGAAAGACAAATGGGATGGACATTGGAAGTAGGAGAAAACAAGTAACAGGACAGGAGCCTACCACAGAGGGCCCCTGAATGGCTCTACCTAGCAGTGTATCAAAATAGATGCTGAGACTCATAACCAAACCTTGGGAAGAGTGCAGGAAATCATATGAAAGAAGGGGGAGTTATTATGACCTGGAGAGGACTGGAACTCCACAAATACCAAATATATCTGGGCCCAGGGATCTTTTCTGAGACTGTTTCTCCAACCAAGGAACATGCATAGATATAACCTAGAACTCCTGCATCTTCTCAGATGTAGTCAATAGCAGCTCAGTCTCCAAGTGGGTACCCTAGTAAGGGGAACAGAGACTGTTTCTGACATGAACTCAATGGTGGCTCTTTGACCTCCCCCTTTCCCTGAGGAATGAGGAGCCTTGCTAGGCCACAGAGGAGGACATTGCAGCCAGTCCTGATGAGACCTGATAAACTAGGGTCAGATGGAAAGGGAGGGGCACCTACCCTATCAGTGGACTTAGAGAGGGGCAGGGAAGAGATGAGGGAGGAAGGGTGGGATTGGGAGGGAATGGGCTATAGCTGGGATACAAATTTAATAAACTGTAACTAATGTAAAAAATAAAGAATTAAAAAGAAAAAAACACCACTCTGGAAATCTATCTGGCGCTTTCTAAGACAATTAGGAATAGTGCTTCCTCAAGACCCAGCTATACCACTGCTAGGTATATACCCAAAGTTTGCTCAAGTACACAAAAGGGATATTTGCTCAACCATGTTTATAGCAGCTTTATTTGTAATAGCCAGAACCTGGAAACAACCCAGATGTCCATCAACAGAGGAATGGGTACAGAAATTGTGGTATTTTTACACAATGGAATACTACTCAGCAATCAAAAAGGAGGAAATCATGAAATTTGCAGGCAAATGGTGGGATCTAGAAAAGATCATCCTGAGTGAAATATCCCAGAAGGAGAAAGACAAACACGGTATATACTCACTTATATAGACCTATAAGATATAATAAAAATAATGAAATCTATACACCTAAAAAAGATAATCAAGAGAGCGGACATGGGGTAAGATTATCAATCCTCATTTTGAAAGACAGATGGGATACGCATTGAACATTGACAGGAGTCTACTGAGCGCATTGGAAAGACTCTAACTAGCGGTGTTTTCAAAGCAAAGACTCGTGACCAAACCTTTGGCAGGGTACAGGGAATCATAAGAAAGAAGGGGAGTTAGACTGATGAGGAAAGGATAGGAGCTCCACAAGGACCAAATATATCTGGGCACAGGGTCTTTTCTGAGACTGACATGCAACCAAGGACCATGTATGAATGTAACCTAGAACCTCTGCTCCGATGTAGCCTGTGGTAGCTCAGTAACCAATTGGTTTCCCATAGTGAGGGGAATAAGGACTATTTCTAACAGGAACTCAATGGCTGGCTCTTTGGCCTCCCCACCCCCCAAGGGAGGAGCAGTCCTGTTAGGCCACAGAGGAGAGCTTTGCAGCCAGTCCTGAGGATACCTGATAAAACAGGATCAGATGAATGGGGAGGAGGTCCCCCCTATCAGTGGACTTGGCAAGGGGCACGGTGGAGAGGAGGGAGGGAGGGAGGGACTGGGAGGGAATGAGGGATCGGGACACGGCTGGGGTACATAGTTAATAAAATGTAACTGAAAAGAAAAAAACAAAGTAATCATGAAATTTGCAGGCAAATGTTGGGAACTAGAAAAAATTATCCTCAGTGAGCTAACCAAGAAACAAAAAGACAGACATGGTATATACTTACTTATAGGTGGTTATTAGATATATAATATAGGAGAAATGTACTAAAATCTATAGTCCTAATGAAGCCAAGCAAAAGGGAAGACTCTAGGAAAGATGCTCAATACTCATTCAGAATGTTAAACCTGAAAGACATCAGAAGCAGAAGAAGACAGGAAATAGGACAGGAGCCTACCACAGAGGGCCTCTGAAAGGCTCTACTCATCGTAGTATCAAAGCAGAGGCTGAGACTCATAGCCAAATTTGGGCAGAGGACATGGAATTTTATAAAAGAAAGGGGAGATATAAAGACCTGGAGGGGACAGGAGCTCCAAAAGGAGACCAACAGAGCCATAAAACCTTGGCCCCAGGGGCCCCGCAGAAATTGATACTGTAACCAAGGATATTCATGGAGAGGACCTAAAATCTCTGCTCAAATGTAGCTCATAGAATAAGACTCCCAATGGGTTCCATAGTAAGAGGCAGGGGCTATCTCTGGCATGAACTCAGTGGCAGGTTTTCTTATCGCCTCTCCCTGAGGGGTGCAGCCCTTGCCAGGCCACAGAGGAAGACTATCCAGCCAGTCCTGATAAGACTTTATAGGCTATGATCAGATAAAATGGCAGGAGGACCTCCTTCACTGGACTATGGGAATAGCATAGGGGAAGAAGAGGGATGGAGGGTGGGACTGGGAAGAGATGGGGGAGAGACTACAGCTGGGATACAAGGTTAATAAATTATAATAAATAATAATTTTGGGTCTCATTACAGGTCATTATCACTCATATCTGGGGCTTCAGATTCTGAATGGGACAATCAGTATTTCCATATTCCAGAGGACAAGAAGAATGAAGCTGTAAGATTTTGAATTAAAACAATGGTGGTGGATGGGAATCAGGCACTGCCTCTATCATGAACTCAGTTGACTGCTCTCTGGTCACTGGCTCCTGATGATGCAGCCTTGCAAGGCCACGGAGGAAGTGGATCCAGGCAGTCCTGAGGAGACTTAACAAGCTATGGTTAAGCAATAGTGGAGAACTTTGCTTTCAGTGTACTAGGCTTCAGAGATGATGGGAAGAGTGAGGGAGGGTGGAACTGGGGGAGTTGACGGAGGGGCTTCAATCAGGATATATAATGAATAAATTGTGAAGAAAATAGTAAAAATTAGAAAAATGAACATTTGTTGTTAATAAAGTAGCTAGTTGTTATTTTTATATAATTGTTAAATAGTTTCAATAGGAATTGCATCAGGTATGATCCAAGAAATATTAGATATATGCACGGAAGCACAGGCAACTCTCATTTTCTATAACCTTTCTCTTTAGATGGAGATACTGAAAGATGGTTACGAACTTGTTGAAGACAAATACAAAAGTATCCTTGACAGAGTCTTACCAATTTTGAAAGACTCCAAAAAGTTAATTTCACCTGTAGACCAGCCAAATGGAGATGATGGGTAAGCAGGCTTGTGGGCAACATATAGGTAATGAAACATAATGCTGGTGATACGTTAGCAATATATTTTTCATTTGTACATATTTATTATATAGTAGTACTTGATTCTATTTAAGTGTTTACTCCCCTTTATAAACAACATAAAATGTTTACCAAGCAGTGTGACCTTGATTTTTATCACTACCAAACAACACAATTACAACAGAAAATATGTGTGTGTGGATATATATATCCATGTACATATATACAGACATATATATTGCTGCATGTTGATGATAACCAGTTGAAATTCTTGTAGAAAAAGTTACACTTATAAAAAGGAAATACGTTAAAGAAGTTAAGATAAAGTTCATTAGTAAAATAATTGCCAAGCACACAGAATTCCCTAAGTTGAATGACTTGGCTCTATTAAAAATAAATTCGAACACATTACAAATTTAATAAATGTAGCACACATGTTTTTAAGTTTATTTATTTTTATTATTTTATTAGTTTATTCACTTTGTATCCCAGATGTAGCCCCCTTTCTTTTCCGCACTCAATTCCACTCTCCCTCCCTCATCTTCTCCCATGTACCTCCCCAAGTCCACTGATAGGGGAAGTCCTTCTCCCCTTCCCTCTGACCCTAGCCTATCAGGTCTCATCAGGACTGGCTGCATTGAAAACACATATTTTTTAAAAGGCCAACAAAGGTGAGATTTTTCAAGGATTAGGGAGATGGCTTGGTGGGTAAAGTGCTTGCTATGGAAACCGGAGGACCTGAGTTTGGATCCTTAGCATTCACATGAAAGCTGGCATAATGACAAGATTCCATAACTTTAGCACTAAAGGAAAGAAATAGCCAGATCTTGCATGTTCATTGACTAGCCAATATAGTCTAAATAGCAAGCTCTACATTGAATGGAGAGACTCTATTCCAAAGAACAAGGCAGAGAGAGCTAAAGACATTTGATATTGACCTTTGCCCTCCACATTCACAGGATACAAGCATACACATATACACAGAGGCACACAACACATACCTACTGAAATGATTTTTGAGTTTGTATAGATGCTAAAAGTTAAAACATAATTACACAATTTCTTCCTTCTTTCTTCCCTCTAACCCCTCCCACATTTCCATTCTCACTCTCAAATTCTTGGCTTCCTTTCCTTTAGTGGTCTTATATTTATATATGTATTAATATATAAATACTCCCTGTTTAATATATCTAGTGTTATTTTGTAGGTATATGGTTTCAGGTCTGACAAATTGTTATTGGATAATCTATTAAGAGTTCCATCCCATGGGGCTGGAGAGATGGTTCAGTAATTAAGAGCACTGTCTGCTTTTCCAAAGGACCTGGGTTCAATTCCCAGCACCCACATGGCAGCTCACAACTGTCTGTAACCCCAATTCCAAGGGATCTGATACCATCACACTAATGCACATAAAATAAAATTAAATATATAAAAAAGAGTTTCATCCCTGAGGAACACTATTTTTATCTCTCTCAAAAGCCATTAGGTATCTGTAGTTCTTGTCTAAGCTGGTGCCCATGAGATTTTCCCCTTTTGTTGTTAGCAATTCTGTTGGTGATGGGTCTTGTGCAGGGCTTGTTTGTGCAGCCATATTGTTGAGGTATCATGAGCATACCTTCCTTGATGTTTCTATGAGACATAGTTTCACAAAATATTTTCTGGTCCTCTGGCTCTTAATTTGTTTTGGCCCCTTCTTTCAAAATGTTACTTGAACTGTTTTTCATTTTTTTTAGCTATTCTGTTCATTATTATTAATTTTCTGTTTTTTAATTTATTACAATTTATTCACTTTGTATCCCAGCTGTAGCCCCCTCCCCCACCCCCTCCCAATCCCACCCTCCTTCCCTCTTCTTCTTTTATGCCCCTCCTCTAGTCCACTGATGGGGGAGGTCCTCCTCTCCTTCCATCTAAACCTAGCTTATCAGGTCTCATCAGGCCTGTCTCCATTGTCTTCTTCTGTGCCCTAGTAAGGGTGCCTCCCCTCAGGGGGAGGTGATCAAAGAGTTACTTGGACTTTTAGTGCAGGAGTTGTGTTGTAAATATATCCATTGGGGCTGGACACCCACAAACAGTTGTTCTCTGCATTTTGTAGACTTGTGGGTTCTTTGCAATGGTTTCCTTCTTTTGCAAAGTGAAGCTTCTTTGATGAGAGGTGAGAGTTATATGTATTGTGGTACTGGATATTTAGTATATGGTTAGGAATTATCCTGGCTCAGTATTCTGGTGTTTTTAGGTTCTCCTTTAAGATACATGACTGCATTACTCCATGGTAGTTGGATAAATGTCCAATACCAGGCATTATTTCTTTCCTGTTGAGCAGGCCTTAAGTCCAATCAGACCACCAAGATGTGGATGTCACAATTTCACCTTTAGGGATATCCATTGACTTTGGATGCATTACTTGGAGACTTTTTTTACATGTATACTTTTCTTTGTAAAAATAACATTTAACTAATATTTTATAAGATTATTTCTGTATGCTTTTTTAAGTATGTTTTATTGATGGGAGATATCTATGTATTAAAATTTACTTGTTTAAACATATAAAGCATTAAATGCTTAGACATTTGTTTAGACTTTTTGTCTGTTTTTAAGACAGGTTGTCACCGTATAGCCTTGTCTGTCCTGTAATTCACTATTTATATCAGGCTGGCCTAGAACTCACGAAAATCTTCCTGCTTCTTCCTCCCAAATACTGGAATTAAAGGCATGTTCAACAATACCTTGCCTTGTTTAGACATTTAAAAATACCAATTTATATAGTTGGAGGCCAGATGGATTATTAAAAGTCTTGTACAGGAAGAAATGAATTTTATAAAAGAATGTCTAGCAAGTGGACTATGGAAGGAAAATCCTAGTAGTGAGCATTTGGAATGTAGATATTTATAAAATAACCTAAGTCAATATCAAAAGGAAACCCAAGAAGTAGAATATTTTTGGTAGAGCTGAAATATTTGAGGCAAAAGTCATTATAGCAGTGAGCATGGGTATACTAGATTTAGGAATACAAAGGAGATTAGGTCAGTTGTGTCTAAGAAATGTGTTTACTTGTTTGGTTTTGACTTCTTTGTCAAAAATTGAGTATTCATAGGGGTGTAGGTTTATTTCTGGGTCTTCTATTCAGTTCCATGGACCCACCATTCTGTTTCTATGGCAGTACCATACAGTTTTTATTACTATTGCTCTGTAGTACAGCTTGAGATCAGTGATGGAGATACCTTCAGATCTGTTGCTGTACAGGATCGGTTTTGGCAATTCTGCGATTTTGATTTGTTTTGTTTTTCCATATGAAGTTGAGAATTTTTCTTTCAAGGTCTATAAAGAATTGTGTTGGTATTTTGATGGGAATTACATTGAATCAGTAGATTGCTTTTGGCAGGATGGCCATTTTCACTATATTTATCCTACCAATCCATGAGCACAGGAGATCTTTCCATCTTCTGATATCTTCTTCAATTTCTTTCTTCAGAAACTTGAAGTTGTTTTTTGTTTTTGTTTTTGTTTTTGTTTTTGTTTTTCCGAACAGGTCTTTCACTTGCTTGGTTAGAGTCACACCAAGGTATCTTATGTGACTATTGTGAAGGGTGTTGTTTCCTTAATTTCTTTCTCAGCCTTTTTGTCTTTGGTATACAGGAGGGCTACTGATTTTTTTTTTAGTTAATTTTGTATTCAGCCATTTTGTTAAAGGTGTTTATCAGCTGAAGGAGTTCTCTGGTTGAATTTTTGGGGTCGATCATGTATAGCTCTTTTCTGAGACTGATACATCAACCAAGGACCATTCATGGATATAACTGAGAACTCCTGCTCAGATGTAGCCCATGGCAGCTCAACATCCAAGTAGGTATCCTAGTAAGGGGAACAGGGACTGTCTCTGACATGAACTCAGTGGCTGGCTCTTTGATTATCTCAACCTGAAGGGGAAGCAGCCTTGCCAGGCCACAGAGGAAATCAATACAGCCTGTCCTGATGAGACCTGATAGGCTAGGGTCAGATGGAAGGGGAGGAGGACCTCCCATATCAGTGGACTTGGAGAGGGGCTTGGGAGGAGAAGAGGGAGGGAGGGTAGGATTGGAAGGGAATGAGAGAGGGGGGTACATCTAGGATACAAAGTGAATAAACTGTAATTAATACAAAAATGTTTAAAAAGAAAAAAGAAATATGTTTAAAGAGCAAAATAAAAAGAAGCTCATATTTTTGAAGAAAAAAATTTAGAATAGTTTGTGAATTTAATTTTTGTACAGAGATTAAATGGATGGATAGTTATGATATGATATGGTATATGACATCTTAAAGCCAGCACTATGAAAGCAATCTCAGTAGTAAGCATGATGTCTACCAAGTAGACAGGCATAAATATTCCTAACAGTTGGCACATCTCAAAATCAGAGTATATTGAAAAGCATTACTTAAGAAAGAAGTAAGTTTATCTCAAACTTTATGGCTTCTAGAGGCCATAGAAATATATCAAATAACTATAACTGTACAAATTTACTTGAAAATTAACTTGATAATTTGTCTTCTTAGGTTCAATGTTTAGGTTCAAATATTTGAGAGATTTCTAGTTTTCAACTCAGAGAAAACTTACACAAAATATGGTTACTAATCAAATCTGACAATTCTATAGAAAATTTTTAAAGAAAATTTATGTACAGCATGGGTGTTTACCTGTATGTATGTCTGTACACTAGTTGTGTACCTGGCACCCATGTATACCAGAAGAGATCCTTGTATCCCCTACAACTAGAATTATAGATGATTGTGAACCACCTTGTCAGTTATGAGAATTGAACACAGATCTTCTGGAAGAGCAGCCATTGTTGTTGAACAGTGATTCATCTCTCCACCTACCAATTGTTCTATTAGAAAGAGTAGCCCACGGCAGCTCGGTGTCCAAGTGGGATCCCTAGTAATGGGAACAGGGACTGTCTCTGACATGAACTGATTGGCCTGCTAGTTGATCACCTCCCCCTAAGGGGGAAGTAACCTTACCAGGCCACTGAGGAAGACAATGCAGCCACTCCTGATGAAACCTGATAGACTAGGATCAGAAGGAAAGAGAGGAGGACCTCACCTATCAGTGGACTTGGAAAGGGACATGGGAGGAGAAGAGGGAGGGAGGTTGGGAGTGGGAGGGATTGCAGGAAGGGGCTACAGCTGGGATACAAAGTGAATAAACTGTAATTAATATTAAAAAAATAAAAATTTAATAAAAAGAACTCATTAATATTTTGCTATAGTTATACACTAATCAATGGAAATTTTAGGTTGCAGTGTAGCTTTTGTATCTTTTCCTTGATAAAGCTTATATAACTTGTTATATAATATAACAATCAAAAAACTATTTTGTTTTACCTTTAGATTCAAATGGCAAGAAAATAATCCCCATACTTCCTTCTCAGTTAATATTGAGGTGACATAGTTTACTGCCAAAATTTACAAATAAGTAATATTCTTTTTTGTGTGTGTACGTATATATGTATGTATATATATATATATACGTACACACACAATTATATATATTATATAATTATTAATTATATATATTATTAATATATATTAATATATTAATTATATATAAATACATTATATATATATACATATATATAATTTTATTTATCTAGCCATTGGTTAATTGAAAATAGTGAATATAAATTATGAATAATATGAAAACAAATTGTATTATAAAAATTCTATTATTTAAGTTTTATGTTTCAGCTCTTGATAGTGCAGTTACTGAGTTGTTCATTTGCCATCATAATTCTTCATGAGAATATTTTCATTACCTCAATACAATTTTTCGTTCCCATTTATAAAACTTGCTTTGATTATTTTAGACACTTAATATCCATAGAATCATACAAGTGATCTTTCTTGTTTGATTTATTTCTCTTAGCATATTTCCAAGGTTCATTTATGCTTCATCAATGACTAATAGCTTATTTTTATTGCTAATTAATCATTTGGTGTGTCAGTGTATGACTGAGCATTGTATCATACGTTATATAAATGAAATTAAAGAAGAGCATATTGGTACAAAATAAGTTTTTATCTGAATATTGCAAATCTGTTTATACAATGTAAATGGATATATGATAGCTCATGTGATTTGAATTCTTGCAATATGTTGGGTAAATATTTTTTCTCAACTATTTTTTAGAAAACATCCTGAAGTATCAGTTCAGAATATACCTATGAATGAAGATTCACTGACCATTCAGTTGGATTTGACCATACCATTTCTACAAGAACAAACAACTGAGGAATCCTCTGAACAGGAACTTAAGGACATTTCTTTGGAATTAGATCATTCTTCTCAAGATTCAGATTGGATGAATGATGAATCAGACACTCTGTGTAACAATATACTTAACAGGTATTCAGTGTTCTCCATCCTTAATCTAGGAATTCATTTACATGGTTTTGAAAAAATGTTTAATAAGATGGTGAGGGGAGTATGATGTCTTTATAGAAGCATTTTCCTTAGATAACCTCAATTTCTGACATTGTCATTGATTCACATGTATTACAGATACACTCTGATAATATGTTTAGTGTTTCTTCTCTGGGTATGAAAATGAGAACCCAGCATTGTTAGTGTGAAATACTCCATGCTATACCCATTATTATCTCTGAAATTACAGTGAAACTTTCTGCTTAGAACAATCCTATAAGAAAAAAGAAGAAATGCTTTCACTTCCTGAAACGTGAAGGTTGTGTACACTTCAGCAAAAATACTACTAAATTTGAGCCACAAAGGCTCCATTGTCAGCACATCTCTGTCTTGAGGATGTCTGACTAATTTCACTTTCATCAGCAGTGCTTATAATTGTCTGTTTGAATGCTTGATCATCTTATATTTGTATTATTCCTCATTACTGTCTCTCATTATAGCTCAAAGTTCACATCTACTCCTTGGTAGGCCTCTTATATAAATATCCTCTTGAAAAACACACCCTAAAGAGCTTCTTCAGCTTGACCCCAAACCTCACTGTAGACTCTTAGACATGTGCATAAACAACTCTTGGCAGTAAAATAATCTTTTAGTGTTTTTAATCTCACCAGAACCATAACAGTAACACTGTTGACTGGGATGATTATTTTGAGCTGGATTAGCATTGATGGACTTGGCCACCAAAGCCAAGTCCAAGGTCTACTTGATTAAGAAGTATATAGGGAGAGCAAAGGCTTCCTGTGATATTGTCCTACAGGAATTTAATAGCCTCTTGAATTCAAATTGAGTGGCAATATTGATCATAATAACTGATAAAAATACAAATGTTTCTCAGAACATCTGGTATTCCTACTGAATGACAAAATGAAGTCAAGAGTCTCAGAGCTCCTGAGAAAACGTAAAAATGTGTAACACTTTTTCTTAATCAGATCTGGTATGTGTGTCCCACTAACTGAAGTCTATTACTTCCATCTTTGATGAGATTCAGACTGAGTGCCATTCATTGAGAGGAATCAGGTCATTTCTAAGCCAAAATTTAAATATTTATAGTCTCATAAATGTAAAGATATTCTAGTCATTTAGGGTCAGTTAGTTGTACTGTTGTGGTGTCTTCAATCTTACTCTTCTGAGACAGTGACTTATATTTATTTTGTACCAAAATATCAAAAGTATTTCCCTGTGCTACTGACAGCTTTCTCAGATTGAAAAATACTTCCTATTTAGAAACAAACTAATGTGGGTTTTTTTTCTTCCATCCTTTTCTGGAGTCCATCAGGTTGAAAACTCTGCAATTTCACTGAGAAGTGGGCTAGTCTAACTGAGTTATAACTGGTGAACCATATATTGAAATCTTATAGCAGTAGGCTTTATGGTCTGGAAGTGAGATATCTGTAACTGAAAAGTGCGACATTGGTTTATGGTTTCTTAGTTGAGAACCTGACATAATCTTTTTAACTTATTGTATGTTTGATTTTTCTCAAAGATTGTTTCTTAGAAGTAAAAACATTGTTCTTTGCATTCACCTTCACTCCCTATCTCTGTTTCTTTGCATTCACCTTCACTCCCTATCTCTGTTTTTCACTGAAGGGATACAACATATATGCATCATACTGAAGACAATTCAGTAGAGCTACATTCATTGCTGCATAGGAAGTCAATGAATTATGATTTTGATCATTTCAGTGAGGTAAGCTTATAAATTCAAATTTGTGACTTTCCTGCATTTATATTGATTGCTCAAAAGTGGAGTGACATATGGGAATTAGCACTGGTTAATATCAAGCCTGGAATTCAAGAATACCTGTGTTTATACCTTGGCTTTTCCAATATAGTATGTTTTATATTTTCCTAGTTTTCTGAAATCATTATGTCCCTCTTCCTTATAGCAACATCACAATTTGTCTGTACATGATATTCTCCCTTTCTCTTATAACTTAAAATAGTTAACATTAAAGTATTCCATGATGTAAAATTATGATACTTTGTTTATAGTGATTTTATATATCCAAAGTTCCTATTCTTTTCGCAGTATCTTTCAGTGCTGTACAAAGTCCGTTTTCAGTGATGGCTAGATATTTAGATATTTATTTATTTCATTCCATTTAGAGTATCTTCCTTGTAATTTCCTTTCAGCTAGTCTGTTATGAACTTCCTATTATTATGAATAACAAATCTGGAACTTTACTCAACATAGATATCATGGCAGAAGCCAATGTCAAAACCATGCATCTTCTCTTTATTCCATTTTATACATTATCTGTTCATATATTTATTGGTGAATATTGCCATAGTAGATTATTAGCAGAAACTCTTTCCAGTTAAGTGAATAGTATGAGATGTCTTAAGGTACTCTATTTATATTCTCTCATTGACCTATTCACATTTTTTTTCTGAAGGGCCTTACTGATTAATTACAAAATCTCTCCAGCATAATGTGTTTTCAAGATTTTAATGCTTTGGGGTAGTTATACATTAGAAACCCATTTAGTGAAGTACGAAGTCTTTGTTCACACATTTACAAAACAGCTACTGATAATAATTAATTGGCAAACTTTATACAGTGTCAAAAGTACTTATAACGCACACACATATATTCCCAGCTGAACTTGCTACAAGAGAATCTCTTGAGTCCAGGAGTTCAAGGACAACCTAGACCATACAGTGAGAACTCATCTAAAAAAAATTTTTGATGTATGCTTCTAAATGCTGTTTTTCTTGGCAATCGCTTTGTTTACAAAGAAGAATCTTATCATATTTTAATATATATGATCATAATTGAGACTATATGTTCAATTCAATGAGATTTTATACTAACAATGTCCTGAAATAACATACTTTTTTGAAAACTTTCCTCAAGTGTCTAAGGGAAGTATGAAGAGTAAGGTAATATATTTGTTAATATTCTTCACCAGCTGTCATAGTAGCAGACTTCTATATGGTACTTTTACACATTTAATTTTGGTTGAATCTCCTTAACACACTCCTCTCTTTCTCCCTCTCTCACTCACTCTTGCTCTCTCTCTCTCTCTCTCTCTCTTTCTCTTTCTCTCTCTGTTGTACCCTATTTTTCACTAGTATTCTCCTTCTACTTTGTTCTCTTGTCTTCCCCATCCTGAACCCTTAAAGCCATTTGATTTTTTTTTCCTATTCTAATGGACCCTTTTCTGGTTTCTTGACCTTTAGCAATATTTACTTCTGTTATGATATATATATACTTAAGAGTTAGAAGCTAGGATCCAAATATGGATAAAATCTTGTGGTATTTGGTTTTCTGAGCCTAGTTTCCTTTGTTTAACAGAATGCTTTACAGTTATGAATATTGTCTTAAAGATTTAATTATTCTTTATGACCAAAGTAATTCACTGAGAAAAACAGTCAGCCATGTTGGTGGGAGTGCTAAGAACAAGACTGAGTTAAGATTGACATACCATTAGTATTGCCACAAATTTTTAAAGAATTTTACCCATTCTTTAAAAAAAATGACTACACAATGACACCCCTTTGTCTTGTGCTATAAGTTTATGATTATGCATAAAAATTTAGAAAAATGTTTTATAAGGGGAAAATCTGAATTTTAGTCTTTGCCATCACCAAATATCTGAATGCTAAATGTACTACTATATTAATATTGAATGGTTAACCCAAATCTTATCAATGAAAACCTGAATTTTGACTGGAATAAATTGGGTTATGATATGGCCATAGTTATTACTGGAAATTAAAAGAGAAATACAAAACATGGGACATCTAGTTTTTGAAAATTGTCTTTATTAAAATCTCCCTTAACAACATGTGTGTTTTTCTATGTATTCCTGCCTATCTTGGAACTCATTATGCTGACCTCGAACTCGAGATTCTTTTGCCTCTTTCTCCTGAGTTCAAGATCAGCATAGTGAGTTCCAAGACAGACAAGACTATATAGAGAAATCCTGTCTCAAAACAAACAAACAAATCTTCCTTGTTGAGGGTGTATGCATGGAAGGACTTAAAGGGATGGAACTTAGGGGCTGGAGGGAGGTAAGTGATATAATTATATTTTAACTAAAATGTATAAAATAATAAAATTCAAAGAAAATCCTCACTTGCCTACAATTAGTAAGGAAATACAATGCCTCATAGACAACTGTCTTTAAAAGTATGCTTACAGGTCTTTCTCTTAGTTTAGTAAGATCTTACTCCTTTTGCTATTTTCTTTTAGTAAAACCTTATTCTCTTTGAATGATTTCTTTCAACTAGGGAAGCTGTATAGATGGAACCATTATTTTTCATCATTGGCCAATAATGAGGCTAGACCCTTAGAGAATTCATTCTTGTTATCTTGTTTAGACAGGAATAGCTTGAAAGAAGTATTGTTTCCTTCCTGCCAGACATAGTAGGCATATTTGGTGAGTCTCATTATTCAGGCTCAAACATGCATGCTCAATACATGCTGTGTTTGAATCTGTTTTGTTCAATAAATATTGGTAGATATTAGTTCGTGTTAAGTGGAAAATAAACCTACATGGTATAGTTGGCTGTAGATGTACTATGAATTGATTTTTCTCTTCTGCCTAAACAGCAGTTAGAAAAGAAAACTATACTTTTAGAAAACAAAATAAATGGAAATGTTCTTTCTTTAACTTTGTTAATCTTCCAAGAAATATGCTTCTTTGGGTGCAGAGAATTGAAACTAGGGCCTCATATTTGCAAAACATACCATACTCTCACAGCTTCAGGGTAAGATTTTATCTCAACTTTATCACAAAAAAATGACGTATTGATAAGGATTATAGTGTTTTCTCTTTGTTCCCAGAGTCTAATTCTAATGAAAAATGAAGAAGAAAGACTTCTGCTTGACACCAGTGGGGAAAAAGGTACAAAAGAATATTTGTAAAATGATCAGAAAATGTATGTCCTAGTTCCAGGCCCACAACTGACTACCCATATGACCCTTGGCAAGCCATTTACCATTTGAAAGTCTCAAACAATGCTTGTATGAACTACTTTTCTTGTTTCATGAGTTATATTAAATAAGATTATACATATATATATATATATTACATATACATATATATCCAGATAATGACTATATACACCTAAGGGAGAATGTATTATTATGTGGTTGATTTTAAAACAAAAACAATGACAAAACATTAAAAGGATGCAATATAATTTTGTGGGTTTTTTAAATTTTTTATTAATTACACTTTATTCATTTTGTATCCCCCCATAAGCCCCTCCCTCCTCCCCTCCCGATCCCACCCTCCCTCCCCTTTCTGCATGCATGCCACTCTCCAAGTCCACTGATAGGGGAAGTTCTCCTCTCCTTTCTGATCTTAGTCTATCAGTTCTCATCAAAAGTGGCTGCATTGTCCTCTACTGTGGCCTGGTAAGGCTGCTCCCCCCTCAGGGGGAGGTGATCAACAAGCAGGCCAATCAGATTATGTCAGAGGCATGTGTTTTTTACATAACATTGAAAGTTCTTTTTCAGAAAATAAGTCTTTATTGTTTACTAAGCTTAGTTATTCACAGTTAGCCTTGTATTTTATGAATAGTGTTGTCTACCAAATTTATGTTCTAGTAGTTAGTTCCTCCTTAATTCCAAACATATACTTGGATGTAATTGAATCTCTTTTCATATAAAGAAGCATCAAAAGTTGATAACCTACAGGAAAGTAGGAAAAGCTGACAATAACTTTTAAGAAAAACAGTACATTTTTCTTGGTTGAGATTACTAATTTGAAGAGTGTAACTCAGAAGAGTGGAAGGGTAACAATGTCTTCCACAAAGCATTTAACAGTAAGAGACTTGTGAATTATACTTTGTTTTAAATTTACTCCTCCTACATTACATGTAACAAAGTGCTTTCTCTCCACAGACAAACATGTAACACAATGCATGGAAAAATCCCAGCTTTTTCTGTTAGATGAAACACCAATATGTGATTTTGGAGAAAATATTCAAGATTCTAATGACAGTCTTTTGGATGATAAGAAGAACCCATCAAATGTTTTCTCAGTTTTACATGACCATGATTATATAAAATTCAATATTTCTGATCCACAAGAAGATACTATAAATACTACTGAAAATATTCCCCTGTTATGTATGGAAGCCAGTAGGGAACCCTTTCTCTTTCTCAACCCTCTTTCTAATATTTTTTGAAAAGCATATTGAACTTAATCTTCTTTAGAGTTTATTTTGAACCTCAATGAATCTCACTTCCTGCTGGTAAATAGCTATTCCACAGCTGCTGGCTAGTATACTTATGTTAATTTTGTAACTTTTGTAACAAAAAATATGTTTAAATTACTGCCCCAGGATCTGGACAAGCTTTGACAACTAGGATTAAATTCAAATCATTAAAACTATAAAGAACATATCCAAATTTTACTATAATAAAAAGTTAGTTTTTATTTTTAAACCAAGAGTATTCTGATACTTTGTGAACAGATCAGAGATCAGTGCTATTTCATTTTTCTAAGTAATTCACAAATTTATGTGGCCAGCTTTTTTGACTTATAGCGAAGAAACAGTTATTAAAAATTTTGCTGAAACAAATCTCTTTTTAAACAAAACTACCAGATTTTATAGATCCATTTATTTTATAATTTTCCACTGTATTCCAGTCTTGCATAATTCTTAATTCCAAACTAAAGCAAAATTTCAGCAGAAAATGGTATTTCTCTGTATAATGGAAAGCTGCATAGACAAAGTCAACATATTGACACTCACCTAAAACCTTGGACAAGAACTCCAAGAATCAAACTCTAGCAAACGATTCATTAAAATTAAGGTAAAAGAAATTCATAGTCAGCCATTTCTCAATATTTACCTCTCATTTTCACATCCAACTTTAGCAGTGTCAGTACTCTTTGACACATGTAATTATTTCATAAAATATTATGTTGTAAAAATAGTACGGTTTTACAGAAACCTGAATTAGTTTTCATACAAACTATTCCATCACCAACATTCATACATACCTAAAACTGAGCATCATAGCACTTAGAATCTAGGCTTATCCTGTTTAGCTGAAGAAGCACTGAAGAATATATTTAAAGTTTTCTTTTAGCAACCAATATTAAAACTTCAAGTTTTTAAAGGATTCTGTCTGTGACACATTCCTAATGCTTTATTCCACCTACTAAACTGTCAACAAATTTACTTGGATTTGTTCCTTTTATTTCTTCAAAGTTTAACATGTTCTTCCATAGCCTCACTAATGAAGTCATGTTTAAAAATAATGGAAAATTGACCATTGTTTTCCTAATTTAAAAAAAAGTGTGTATTTGTTTAAATAAAATGGTTTATGTGATTATAAAAATTGTTTTTAATTATAATTTTAATTTTTCTTCACAATTTATTCATTATATATCCCAATTGAAGCCCCCTCCCTCAACTCCCCCCAAACCTACCCTCCTCCTTCTTCCCTCCTATCTCCCTCCCCTAGGCCACTGAAAGGGGGAGTTCTCCCCTATTGCCATCTGCCCATAGCTTGTTAAGTCTCATCAGGATTGCCTGGATTCTCTTCCTCCGTGGCCTGGAAAGGCCACATCACCAGGGACTAGTGATCAAAGAACAGTCAACTGAGTTCATGATAGAGCCAGTCCCTGTTCCCCTAACTAGGAGATCCACATGGAGCCTGAGCTGCCAATCCATCACATCTGAGCAGGGGGTCTAGGTCCTCTCCATGCATGGTCCTCAGTTGATGCATCATTCTCTGCAGGATCCTCTGCAGGGTTCAGATCTTTTCGCTTTGTTGGTCTTCTTGTGGTTCTCCTGTACCCTCCATGTCCAGCTATTACCACCCCTCTCCTCTTCCATAAGACTCACTGCATTAAGACCAAAGTTTGGCCATCAGTCTCAGCATCTACTTCGATCCCTTATTGGGTGGATCCTTTCAGAGGACGCTCTAAAGTAGGCTCCCATCCTGTTTCCTCTCTTCCACCACTTCTGGTGTCTATGCTGTTTGCCATTCTGAATTGTATTTAAGCATCCTCTCTAGAGTCCTCCCTGTTGTTTAGCTTCTTTAAGTCTGTCGATAGCTATCCTATATTATAAGGCTAACATCCGCAAATAAGTGAGTGTATGCCATGCCTGTCTTTCTGTTTCTGGGTTACCTCACTCAGGATGATCTTTTCTAGTTTCATCCATTTGCCTGCAAATGTCATGAATTCCTTGTTTCTGTATCCATTCCTGCATTGAGGGACATCTAGGTTGTTTCTGGATTCTGGCTATTACAAATAAAGCTTCTATGAACATAGTTGAGGAAATGTCCTTATTGAATGGTGGGGGAACTTTGGGTATATGCCCAGGGATGGTATAGTTGGATCTTGAATTAGTGCCATTCTCAATCTTTTGAGAACACAGCAGATTGATTTCCAAAGTGGCTCTACAATTTTGCACTCCCACCAGCAATGGAGGAGGGTTCTCTTTTCCACATCCTCTCCAGCATGTGTTGTCACTTGAGTTTTTGATCATAGACATTGTGATCAGTGTAAGATGGAATCTTAGTTGTTTTTTATTTGCATTTCTCAGATGACTAAGGATGTTGACCATTTCTTTTTTCACAGCATTTTATTATTTTTTATTACAAGTTATTCACTTTATATCTCAGCTGTAGTGTAGCTCACTCCTTCAGCTCCTCCATTGTTATGGTTTCTAGGCTTTAGAGTTGAGGAGGACTATTGACTGTACATGGCAGCTTCCTTCTAATACAGAGACCTAGTGCTATAGAAGGAAGTCTCCATCCCTCTATCTCAAGCTTGTGGTGTCTTTAACAATTGGGTCTTACTTTCAAGTTTTAAAAGACATCCAAGGTTAACAGCAATAGCCTATATTATTTTGTGGGGGGCTTTTGGACTTCTCTAACTAGTGATTACTCAAGAAAGATGTCCCATGCCTTGCTCTGGGGGTTTTGTTAAATAGTCCATGAAACTTGGAGAGAGCATTATCACTCTTGGTGGTATAACTTCATTAAGTGTGTGTGTGTGTCTATGTGTGTAGGCACGTGCACACTTGAGTGCATGCATGCAATATTTTAGTTGTTATATGAGTCATACATATTAGAAAACTATCTATTAAAAGATTTTCCCTCCACACATGGCTCAACAGTTTTGCCACAGATACCTGAGATTTTGGAGCTGTTTGTTCATGCTTCATCTTCAGTAATGCCAGCAAGGCACACCTCAGCAAAGAAAAAGTAGTAATGAGTTTAAGATCAGATCACTACTTTTTGCTGGACATATTGGCACATGCTTGTAATCCCAGCACTTGAGAAGGCAGAGACAGGCTTCTCTCTATGAGTTCAAAGCCAGCCTGGTCTACAAAGTGAGTCAAGGACAGCCAAGGCTACACAGTAGAACCTTGTCTTGAAAAACAACAAGAACAAAAAAGATCACTACTTTCTATCTTGGGGAACTGTGCTGGCTAGTTTCATGTCAACTTGAAACATATTAGAGTTATCTGAAAGGACAGAACCTCAATTGATAAAGTACATTCATAAGGCCTAGCTGTAAGGCATTTTACTAATTAGGGAGTGAACCTACACATTGTGAGTAGTGCCATCCTTGGAATGGTGGTCCTAGGTTTTATAAAAAAGCGGCTGAGCAAGCCATGAAGAGAAAGCCAGTAATCAGCACCCCACCATTACCTCTGCACTCGCTCTTGCCTCCAGATTGCTCCCTGTTAGAGTTCCTGTCTTGACTTCCCTCAGTCATAGATTATTACCTGAAAATTTTAGTCAAATAAAACATTTCCTACCCAAATTGTTTTTGTTCATGGTATTTCATCACAGCAATAGAAAACTTGAGAAAGTAGCAAGAACCAAACCATCAGGAAAAAAGTACTGGTGACTTCTGCAACTCCAGCATTCTGATGACCCTATTAAGTCTTTGTTAGTTGTTCATTTGTTTTTTGTTTGCTTGTTTGTTTGCTTGACCTCCCTGAAGCCCAGTTTCATTCATCCTCTTTCTGTACTTCCATAGTTGTTTCATTTCTTTCATGGAAGTGCAGTTCTGATTTTACTATTACGTCAAAAAGATAATTTTTCCACTTTAGTCAGCATACTATCTGGGCATGCTTGAATTTACCAACAACCCTGTCATGATTTGACTGTCATATCTCACTAGAATATGGTGATTAACAAGAGAATCAGTTAACTACTTTGAAGTGCATGAAGCCATGAGACAATTATTTGTGAAGTAAGGCTAATAGGACTACAATTTTATACATAAAACAAAAGAAAATTTGGGGGGACTAGAAGAGCATTTTTATGTCAATCTGTAAAGTTTGGAAATTAGGCCAATGGTACCTACTAATCTCTGTTAAGATTTCAGCACATTTAAACTACTAAATATACATATATTTTGCCTGAATTTTTTTTTGTTTTGTCCTCCTTTCCTCTCTTTCACCCTCTCTTCCTGCTTCCTTTATTTTTTCTTTCTGTTCTTTTCTTTGTTTCTGATTGAGGTCTTGCCACATGGCCCAGATTGGCTTAAATTTCCTGCATAACTCAGATATAAAACTCATGATCTTCCTGCCTCAGCTTCTCAAATGGCAAGATTACAGTCATGAAGTACTCTATCACACTGCATTTGTCTTATAATAACAGAACTGAAGATTATCTCTCTCCTTTGTATGTCTGGATTACTTAGTATATATTACATACTAATTAATATATATGCACCCAAGAATTCTAGTTTACTTTTATATGTTTATTCTGGATTCTGTGTTTCCCAATAGTAGGGATATGTTTAATTCATTTCTGTATAGAATGAGTTTTATAGTCATCAGTTTTAGAAAACAGAAAAGATTTGGATGAAAAACTCTAGGTACTAGAGTGATAGCTGTATCAGTAAAGTGCTTATGCTACAAGCATGAAGGCTGGAGCTTGATCCACAGAATTCATGTAATAAAGAAATAAACAAACAAACAAATAAATGCTTAATCCACAGAATCCACGTAATAAATAACTAAATAAACAAACAAATAAATACTATAAAGCTGGTTGTTATGGTGTGGACTTGTAAGCCCAGCACTAGTTTGGAGAGGCAGAGATAGGAAGGAGAACAGAGCTAAACAGAGATTCTTAATAGAGGAATATCGAATGGCAGAGAAACACTTAAAGAAATGCTCAACCTCATTAGCTATCAGGGAGATGC